GTTTATAGGTAAGAATAAATTGTACAATAACTTTCAAAGATATGTCACTAACGTCAAATTCTCCAAATAACCAAAAACCATTAGTGACTGATTTTGCTTAGTTCGATTTTTAACCCTTTGGGTTTTGTAGTTGCATCTAAGTAATTATTTATATAATTGAATGCAGATGGTCATTATTAGCTAAAATGAATTCTATCTAGTCCATATCCAAGTTAATGTGGACGAAAATTGTTTCCATATTTAAAGAGGTGTAAAGTACTTACAAAAAAGTAGTGACCCTACTTCCTAAAGCAAAGTTTACTGCTTTGAAAGCAAATCCAGAGAAGCACTTCGGACGCACGACATTAATGAAGTATTATTTTCATTTACTTGCACTGGGTCGATACCATTGGTCTCTTTGGTCATAAAGCTCTTCACGTGTTTAGGTCTTGTACATCCTTTGCTTTCAAATGCGTTGGTTGGAGCGTTGCTGCTGAAGGTAAATATAGAAAAGCGCCTCGCACACACAAATTTAACGAAGTTGTACTTTCATTTACTAGCATCGAGTCGGCACTGCTGTTGGTGAACTGTTAGACCCCGAAGGTAGTATCAACTCAATAGTCAGTGAGTCGGTACTGACATGAATTTAAAGGACTGTTCTTAAATTCTCCATTGATAAATTAAGAAATTATTAACATCAATTCTCTGTATGGATGACCCAAATATAAAAAATTGATGGCCAAACAATTTTTTTTTAAAGTTATATTTTTTGGGTTCAAATTAAAGGAATGAACCATGAGGACATAAAACAGACCAACATTTTTATCACCATTTTATTGCCATGGAACAAGGCTGTCCTTGGATTATATAGGCATTTTTGTGTATTTCAACAAGTGACGTATTATTGAAAGAAATTTATACAAATTAATACAATTACTTCCACTGCAGCAGTTGTGTTTAGGATAATACATGTGTAAAAAATCATTAAAACCACATATTTATAAAATTTGAGTCTAATTTTTAGCTTTAAGTGTGGTTATGTAGTTTTTTTATTGAAAAAGTACTTGATTTTTTGACCATTTTGAGCATGTTATTTACTCCAAAAGCAGAATTTCCCAAATATATCATTATAAAAAATGAAATAAAGGATGTTTTCTCATCAAATTTACCTAAAAATATTTTTGAGGCAATAACACTAAATGCCACCTACATAGAGATTTTGTTGATCCTCACCCTTATATATTATGGTTATATTAGTCGGAGCTTTACCAAAATATTATTAAATATTAAAAATTTAAAGAAACTGTATCAGTTGTGATTGTTAAAAAACAATTTAAAACAAATTAGCACAGCTCATCTCCTTTAATGTGTACAGTAATAAAGTACAGACCCCTGAACTGACTGTAGTGAGTTATGTCCCCTTTTTGAACTCTTCGGTAATAAGAGAGAGAGAAGATCTACACAAATGGCAGACAAACTAACTTCTGCTGTCAACTAAAAATATATTTCAACCATTATGAGTGTAGAATGCCCTTTCTTTAGGAAATTTGCATCAACCAATCGTCATCCAGGAATACCCTTATACCTGAACAGTTTCAAGCAACAAACTAAAACACATTTTTTGGCAGAGCTAGGGCTTATACATTGTGACTCCAACCCTCATGATAAAACTAACATTTGTCAAAACCATTTAAATCTAACTCACCAAGTATCAGCAAACAGGAGTAGGAACAATAGTGTGACGTTCCAGAATTATTAAAATGCACACAAGAAACAAAGTAGGAGCAAAAGAGTGGCTATTTCTGTAGACAGAAAAATTGGGGAAGAACATGTTCCCATCATCATTTACAGAAATACCGGATATGTTTTACCAGTTGGAACAGGTAGGTGAAAATATGTAAAACCGATAATAAAATGAAAAAGTTTCATGAAATTTTATGCAACTTACTAAGAAAAAGTTTAGGATAAATGTCAGAGAATAATCCAAAACCTAGACATGCAGAATTCACAATATGGACATTGGACATGTACCTGCCCTGTTTAACAAGCTCTTGTTAAGTCATGACATAGAATATAATATGGATGACAAATAATCTGACCCAACAGCTACATTTTATCAGGCAAATAGCAATGAAAAGACATGAAATCTGTTCTCCATATTGTCAAATCATCAAATATATACCGGGGGGGGGGGGGGGGGGGGGGGGAGTCAGGAGCACAACAAAATATTTTCAATCATTTTGAGGAAAATTATACTCAATTTTAAGTCGCTGTAACAATATTAACATGTACAGAAATGGGAAACGAATATGTTGCTTTGTTAATACTCAACCTTCTCAATTTATCAGTATCAGAAGAAAAAAATACATTATACAGTTAATTAATGTACAACAGAAAAAAAATAGACAAGCATATCATCCAGTATCCAAAACATTAAGCCATCTTATCTGCTCCAGGATGTCATGTTGTCACCTATAGCATAAGTTCATAAAAATGAATGAAATATTTAAAAAAAAAAAAGCTTATTATATTTTTTAAATAAAATTATTAAAAAATAATTAACCCAAAAACACCAGTTTCACATTGGTTCTGTGGCAGGCATTGTACTTGACACAAATACAGCAAAATTAAAGATAAGTTTGTTTTCCCTGAAGAAACGTTTTTTGTTAAATATAGGTAGAAAATTCATTTAACTCCATTTTGTTTAATTTTCAATGTCTTACCTGTAATACGCTTTATACATCATTTTCAGCTTGATGTTGTAGAAAGAAAAGAAAAGAAATATCAGTTAAACAATTTGTTTTCTGATTGTAAAAGCTGTCCAATATTATATCAAATACTATGTATCTATAGAATACAAAATAAATTAAATCTGAGAATTTAAATATAAATTTTCAAAAAGGACCTTTTTTTGGCTAGAAGGAAAACAAACAAAATTTTGATTTCAGTCTGATACTATGTGAGTGTCCATTAAAAAATTTATCATAGTATGGCTGTGTTAACCCTTTATGTTAAATAATTTAAAAGTGGTGATCACTAAGAATTGCACAGTTCTAGTTTGTTGATCTTCAATGAAGAACATTATAGGTGATCCGTCACATTCAAGGGTAAAAGAAATGTATATTCCAATCATGCTTTTGATCTGTTTGTGATACAATTAGAGGAGTATGGGTACTAATTTACTGATACGATACTCTTATACCATACAAAGGTGGCTTCATAATTATGTATTATTATAAATATGTTACCATAATGTAGTCTTTTTTCTTCCTTAAATTATAAATACAAACATCATTTATTTCTTTGAAAAACAAAAGGGCCATAGATTATGATATAAAAATATTAATACCACTTTGAAAGGAGTTGTTTTTCTTTCCATTTTAAAAGAAATACCAATAAACTAATTCACCTTACTTTCAAATACTTATCTGTAAACACACACACATATCATATAACTGAAATAATCACTGCATGTATGGAATTGTAGTATTGGAGAATAAACTTCATTGAGCCATGCATTTGGAATTTGATTAAGTGCATAGTCCATAACAATAACAAATTTGCAGGAGATCTCGAGAGTAAAGTAAACAACCAATACACCAGGCTCATAGGTCAGGGTCCCATACTTATACAATTATTATACCTTTAGATCAGAAACATCAGTACCATGAAGGAGTATTTGAAAAATTGCTTATTTATGTGCGAAAATCTTATTAGGTTAATAGTAGGTTCATATTTTTTGGGAAAAAAAGGGGGGGGGGATTATCCTTTTTGAGAATTTTTTCCAAAATTATGTGATAATGCCCCGCAAATTTTTATTTATAGATGTATCGACAAAAGTAAGCTCTTCGTTAGCTTGAAGTCATTTATGGTCTACATTTCTGCAAAAAAAAGTTTAGATGGTCCAAACTGGGCCCTTTTTGGCTAAATTTAACATATTCTTTAAGACCTGACTTCCTGCCATGTATACTCAAATAAGATATCACATATTGCTAGGTATATTTATGTTTTTTTACTAAGCATATTATGTTGTTCATCAGTGATGTTTTGTATTTAACCTTGCATTAAAACCTGAGTTTTACCATATTTAGAATGTCAGTTTGGAGTTTATTTTTTGTCCTGGTTGCTAGGGAAAGCCTTGTCTCTAGCAACAATAAAGACGTTACCATAGAATCAACATTTCTTGTTTATTTCTAGTTATAACACAACTAGCTTGTACAAAAGAAACCTTTTTCCAGTTGTATTTTTTTTTCAAGTGGCCACCTGTTGTTTGATACTTACAGAGAATTGATGTTAAGAAATAAAGTTTCCAACTCCCTCAGGCTAAGATGACCTTAGATGAAATTGACAATTTTTTAAGTCCCTTTGGTCAAATAGGTCTTCACGTGTTTAAGTCTTATACATCTTTAGCTTTGAAATGTTTTGGTTTTAGCGTTCCTGATGAAGGTGAATAAAAAAATGCGCTCCTGAGTCACAAAATTAATAGAGAAGTATTTTCATTTACTAATGTCAGTTTTCGGTTGTGTAATATTGGTTCCGCCTCTGTTTATGAGTTTTCAAAAAATCACATCTATATAGAAGGAGATGATCTTTGATTGCCAATGAGACTCAAATCAAGCAATGACCAATGGACAACGATGAAAAATAAAAACAATTGGTCTTCGTAGTATTTGACATAACTTTTGTATACTGTTGTATGTCCATTGATCGCTTTTCGTTTTTTGCCATGATATTGTTATTTTTTTTTCGACGTATGAGTTTGAATGTCCTTTTGGTAAATTTCGCCTCTCTTTCCAAATTTTCAGGTAATAATGCTCTTTAATTTCGTCACTGATCGGGTCTTATGTAGACGAAACCCGGATCTGGCGTACCAAATTATAAGCCTGATATCTTTGATGAGTTTTTTCTATAAGTTTTTCATTAAATAATTGACACTTCATCATCTCTGTAATCTTCTTTGGTTTTCGGATATCAGCTTTAGTTCTCGGATATTAAAGATATGTTGTATATATAAATCAATATTCTATAAATAAATTTATTAGTATTTGTCGATCAAAACATTCACGGATTACTGCTAAATCTAATATTAGCACTATATCACTTTAAGTTTTATGATATTTACAATGCAAATTTTGATATAATAAATAATGAACAATAAGATACAACAACTTATTTACTAATATTAACCGAGAATAGTTATAATGACATATTGTGTCATCAGTTATTTCAATTATGGAATTGCATATAAATAGTTCTTTGCATATGTTTCACGTTACATTCACCCACATGCTTAACTGGCAGAAGATTCTGTCCTGAAGTGTGATTGTTCATGAATATTAATCCTTCATTGTCACAACATATTATGGTCATTTGATAAACCTTTATCGACCGTTCGAATAGAATTGTTTTCTATACATGAACTTTTCAACCATTATTGAAGTGCAAACTGATAACTTTATATCGGATCTTTTGAATGTGATGTACTTATACAAATGGATTTTACATTGTTAATAATTCAAACATGCAATCCCGTCCAAATCAATGCATAGCTAAGTAGGACGATACAACATCAAGTATGCTAAATAGTGCAAAACAACTGCTTCTGAAAGCATGATCCCTTAATTTTTACAATTCTGAAGTGTTATCTGATGTCATCATTTATGTTGTTCTAAAGTTGAAGGAAAACACTTTGAAAGAACATGGTTCAATTAAATATTCGATTATTTCCTTTTGAAAAAAAAACATGTTTTGAAGTAAATCAGTACTTCTCAAGACTAGGAAAAATGATAATGTAAAATTCGAAGATTAAAGTAAAAATCTACGATGAAAGTGCAATATAATGTTAATCATTGCATACCTTTCACTGTTTTTTTAGACAATCACAACATATTTCTGAGACCAAACACAGATGTTGAGATAATTATTAAGTGTATCAATTGTTTCCTTCTAACAATTGAATAGACAGATTATTATCAAATTTTAAATGCACTTTCGTTTTTAAATAGAACAAGTGTCTCAGACAAAAGAGAAGAAAACATAGATCCGTGCATGGCATTGAAATAAATAATAAACCGTTAGCGTATGTTATATTATATTTCTGTACATGTGCGACCACCTTAATATGTTTGGTACTGTCTTTCAATTAGTCATCTTGTTGAAAAATATTTATCTTCTATATGTGTAAACACAACTCATTTCATTACCCATGTCTCACCATTCCAGTACCGAACTACCATTTTAAAAACATACAATTTTATAAAGCGATGAATAAGAATTGTTTTACTATATACATCTTATAAAGATAAACGTGTCAATCGTAAAAACACTATTTTGATAAATTTATATTACATATCACACTGGATAAAAACCAATTATAGAAGGACCCGTAAAGTGCTACCGGTTATGTGCGAGTATAGTCACTAATATTAATAAACAATTTGACATTAAATAATGAACACGTCTGTTCACACTGGACGCACTGTTACCCGGGTTTTCCATATGAGATGATTTCACAACAGTCTTTTTATCTTGAAAACCTGAAAAAGAATATCCTTTTAAAGTTTAAGAATGTATATCAATAATTCTAAAGCAATCCAGCCTTAAGATGTTGGATGTGTACTAATTGATATTTTAGTCTTAGATGCATGATTTTTTTCATTAGTTATTATTGGCTTTGAACTAGCTATCAGTAACAGCGAGTACTCTCAGATCTGTACTTTTTGTTGTGGGGATGTATAAGTACCCTGCCACATCCACTCCGTGTTTTTGTTAGATGTATTTCTATTTGTATCCATTTGATGAGTTAAGCCTTTTTCAACTGATTTTTATAGTTGTTCTTATGTTGTACTGTTACACCACTGTCCAAGGTTAGGGGGAGAGTTGGCGCCTGCAAACTAGTTTAACCCCGCCACATTCGGTATGTGCCTGTCCCAAGACAGGAGCCTGTTAGTCAGTGGTTGTCGTTTGTTGCTGTGTAACATATTTGTTTTTCGTTCATTATTTTGTACATAAATTAGGCCGTTAGTTTTCTCGTTTGAATTGTTTTATCATTGACATTTCGGAGCCTTTCATAGCTGACAATGCGGTATGGGCTTTGTCCTTGTTGAAGACCGTACGGTGACCTATAGTTGTTAATATCTGTGTCATTTGGTCTCTTGTGGAGAGTTGTAACATTGGCAATCATACCACATTTTCTTATTTTTATATTAAAATACATGTTAAGAATCGATATTAGCTAGACTAACTGAACACTTAACATCGGCCACTATCATAAAACATTAATCTTTTTCAATGATTACGCTGAGCAATTTGGTACATTTATAAAACTATATAATCTATATTTAGTCAAATTATACACGTAGTGGTCAGATACCAGATAACATTTGTACCTTGGGTAGTCGTATCAGCTTATGCTTAAAACAAATTCATGATCTGATCATATCTAACATAGAATTTGTTAGTAAGGTAAGTGTAAAACTATAATAATGGTGAATACTAAAGTTGTCTGTAAAATTTGTTTCTATGTATTGTTTTGAAATAAATAGTTCATTTGATTTCTCGTTTGGATTATTTCACACTTATCACGACAGGTTCTTTTATAGCTTTCAAACGGTATATGTTCGCTCATTATTGAAGGCCGTTTGTTGACCTATGTTGCTTACATCTTTTGGAAAGTTGTCTCATTGGCTATTATACCATATTTGAATATCTGAAACATACACTTACAAGATTTGAACATTTGATTTCTCGTTTGAATTGTTTCACACTAATAACGACATGTTCTTTTAAAGCTTTCAAACATTATATGTTCGCTCATTATTGAAGGCCGTTTGTTGACCTATGTTGCTTAAATCTTTTGGAAAGTTGTCTCATTGGCTATCATACCATATTTGAATATCGAAAAAATACACTTAAAAGATTTGAACATTATCCGTAATTGAACTATTTTTCAGTTCAAAATGAATAGAAAAGAATAGGTATATTGTGTTCATGACACAAAATTCCTACACACACTTGACAAACCCTAATTGAAGGAACAGATCCTTTTATTTGATATATTTTTTTCTTTGATTAGGTCATATCATATTTGTAACTTGAAACTAGAACAACCAAACATTACGTAAGTCGATAGGTTTTAGCATCCACAATCTTGTACTAAAATCCTGATGTTCTTTTCTTGAAGTATTCCAAAAAGTAAAAGTATATATAAAACAACATACATTTATATAGGGCAAATAGTACGTTTAATTATAAGGTTTCACTAAAAATACACTAAATATGTTTTACTTCGTTAATAAGTACAAGTCAAAAGATACTCACCACGTTTGTCATGACTTGAATCAGCTGAAAAAATACAATGTTATTTAAATGTCAACATATACAAACTATCTTAAAAATGGAAAAAGGTAGCAGAGATAATTGTGTGAATAGAACTACGTAATGCAGATTGTGTGAAACACTTGCAGTTAAAAGTCGCTACCCATTCTTTTTACAATGATTCTTGTAAAAAGTGTGTGCACAAATTCAGTACACATTTACTATGATCAGTAGTTAATTGTTTCGGCTTTCAGTTCACTATTTTATGGAGGTAAAATATCTCAGGTTGTTTGTGACATGCCATTTTTTAAAATTCTAACTACAATTATCCAACTTCCAAATTCTTATTCATAAAAAGTTGCAACAAAATAACGAGGTCATCTTGCTTATATTAAAATTATAACGCTATAAATTTTTATTGTAATAAACACTTTGTATACGTAGTACATTATTGTTGAGCATCTTTTGTAATATACATTATAAATTTCCTGGCTGCTGTAATGTGGAATTATGTGCTTAAATCTGCCAAAAACAATGTCATACAATTCCAAGGAAATTTAAAATCTTCATTGTTTCATATAGGTTTATATTTCACTTACCATTTAAGACGACAACATGGTGGCTATCAACGTCCTTTTTCGAACTCCGACATATATATACTCCAGTGTCCTTCATTGTGCTCTTGGCTATTTCTAACACACTATAAAGAGTTTTTGTTTCACTGTGTCTATATTCTGTAATGAGTATGCCAGCATCTATGTTTTGCTGTAATTTTAATCCATTATGAAACCAATCCATATGCTCCGGAGTCAATGAATCACTAGTTGCATTGCATGTTATACGGATAGGTTCGCCTTTCTCCGTGAAATTTGGCCCTGATATATGTATTGCTGAAAGAAAGAATAAGAAACCGAAATTTTAACATGCAGAGATATATTATATGAGTACCTGAGAACTTACAGCAATGGCATAATAAAGAATTTTGCGTTGCTTGTTGGCTCTATATATTTTTGTGATTATAAAAGAGAGGTGAGGATACCAAAGGGACATTCAAACTCATAAGTATTGGATTTGAATCTTTTCCCTTTCCCCATTTTATTTTCTATTTGATATTTTTGGTTTCGAAAGGAATGATTATTTAATACGGTATTACAATATCAAAACTAAAAACAAGGCATCGTACAGGCTTGTTCAAGAAAGAACTACATATGCGACAAACATGTGTGAATGGAAAAATGAGATAAAAGATGCAACGGTGCAGTGTTCATAATATTTTTTTTAAATCCAAAATTCTATAGCAAATCATGAGATATTTTACTTATAACTGTTGTGTTTTGTTGCTCGTCTGTCTGTTGGTAAACATGTTTAGAATGTTAAGACAAGCTTAAAGGAGACAGATTTAATACTGCAAAAAACTATTTCGAATTAAACCCCTAGACCTATAAATCTAAGCGGATTTTGTGTGTTTGTGTATAGCAATACTTTCCATGCAGTGATAAAAATTAGAAAACAAATACGACATGCTGTTAATATTACAAAAGAAAGATAAACATGAAATTTATGTGCAAGCTTATTAGTTTTTATAATATCTTATTACTAGTTTCAGCCATAATTCAGATAGAATATTTTGTCTCCAAATCATGTCTTTTTAATCGGTATAAATAGGAGTAGTCTGGTTCACGTCAAGCATTTGACAAAATTGTATATTCCTAAATTATACCGAACTGTGTATGCCCTTTAATCTCAATCGTGTAAATCAATTCAAAAATTCCTTTCACATTGTTTTTCAAGCGACGGATAACGTTCAGGTTATTCTATGAAATAAAACCCCAATAAAGTTTCGGGATTGAAATATGGCCACTTTGAAATATAACGTCCAGAAGAACATTGTAAGATATCTGATAAAGAGGGAAGAAGGGCATTTGTGCGATATAAATATCAAGTTTGCGTTCTGAATATTTAACATTTTTCAATGGACGTTAATGCAACTTATTTATCTATCAAATTGAATATAGTAAGTCAGACATTTAAAATGAGAGGAAAGGCTGGCAGTTAGCACGTTTAAAAACTTCCACTCTAGCACAGTACTGTACGATAGCATGATTTGAAAAGGAGGAGGTATGATAGAAACCATCATTTGGCACATGAAATTGCAAAACTAGTCAAACTCTTTCAGCCTTTCAAGATGATGTTAATCTTGGTGGTAAATGAATAGGGTGAAACAATCTGGAAAATTTAGGGCAGAAATGGCATTTGTGGTGTCATAACCATGTCAAAATAAGATAAGTTGATTTAAAATGACTATTTTTACACCTATGGTATGGCAACAATTAACATGAGCCAATGTTTTACCAAAAAAAGATGTTGTACATACGTTAACATTTCTGTATAAGACATTCTTTTGTGGTTAGCCCTTATATCAGTATCATTATGACAGCGAAATGAGTCTTTTCGGCAGTTTTTTAGTAATGCAAAGATTGTCTGCAATTTTAACTAACTTAACAAATATGATATTTAAAATCATAGATTCTGATATCTGACAGGATTATGTTTAATCTAAAGTACCTTTTTTTATAAATTCAAGAGGCCAAAATTTTGGCATTATCAACTTTTTTTTCCTTTATCATTTGTGACTTTAATGAATTAAGAAAACATGCAATGCAAGTATGCTATTGTGTTTCATTTAACGATTAAAATAATAAAAAAGACTTCAGCAAAATAACTTCAAGTGTAACATGAAATTTTAAAACATTCAAGATAAATTGGTTTACTATACCCGTATGATTCCGTGGGCTTTTAGTAAAAATTTTACTTGGGAAAACAGTAGCTGTATAATAAATAAAAAGTAAAATGTATGTCTTTACCACAAAACCATCGACTAAAAAAGTTTATATATATTGAAGACATCTCCTGCGTATTTTATTACGACCGTAAGTTGGTTTTACAGATTATCGGGGGAAAGTTTATGTAACAATCTATATTTAATGATAAAGAATAAATTGCTACTTTGTTTTTCATTTCAGTTAGTTTATTTTTTATTGGTTTCTTTGGAAAAGTAATTCACATGATAGTTTTAAGATATGTACACGTATATATTTTTTTATTGTGGAAATGCCATACTGTCGCTTAGTACAGTGGGCTTCATCAAAAATCGTTTTGTCCGTTTGCCCACACATCGTATCTTTATTTCCTCTTTAACCATTTGTTATAGATAAAATAAAACCTTCAAAAGATATATCGTACATAATAGAAGTTTGCACATCCTATTTTATCTGTTGATTCGAAAAATATTAGGAGTTGCACATAACAAAGCATAGACTTTGCCATAATAAAACTGATGGGAAAAGCGAGTAAATTATTATGTATAGAAAAGCAATGCATACAGCATGCTATGTTCTATTAAACGATGGTTAAAAGTGCTACTGTTTGAGTTTAAGAAAGAACTATTTTAGTATACATATATGAGTGTAAAAACTATACAAGCAAGATGGTCCTTAGTTGCAAAGTTAGTAAATCTAAACTTAGTGTGATTAGTAAGTGATTGTGTACCTGGACGAAATATTGTCTTCTTTTCTGAAATAGAATATTGATATAGATTGTCTCATTTTGCACGTGTAAACTATTTACTTACATTCGATTGTATGGGCAGTGCTTTAAACATGATCTAAATGTATATTATTTCAGGATTTCATTCAAACAACAATCAATCAATCAATCAATCAATCATTTATATTTAAGGAAATAATTTACAGTACTGTATTTGAAATGTTGCCACCGTCAAATCGTCTACTGAGTGACGCAACTTTCCAAAAACACTACTGTTATACTTAATGGAATGCAACGCCAGTGAAATAGTAAAACTAAAACATTTGAACATTCGAGGAAACGTCAAAAGCAATTGTGCAACTTTGTTTTCAATGAATGAGGAATTGACGACAGACGTCATTCAATCTAAAGTGGCTTTACATTTCATATTCCGTTACAAGAAGGAATATATATAATATTGAGCACAACTTTCAAGTGAAACATGATATGCTGTATACATATTTTTGCGCAAAATCCTTTGATAAGACAGTACCAACATACTTATATTCACAATATTTTACCATTATACCTTGTGAAATTTAAACTTAATCATATAGATAATTTGTTCAATTCTTCCAAACAGTTAACAGGCAAAAACATTATAACAATGATTAAATTCGTAAGAGATATGCTTGTGAAACACTTTAGAATAAGCTAGGAAACAAAATACGCAAAGAAATCCCTTTGAGTCATTTCAAAAGTTTTATAAATTGCTGGGGTTCACCTGTCTTAAATCTATAGCTTAATGGGATTTAACAGATTTAGCTTGACAGTGCTTTGATTTAAGTTAATTTACTCTTATTTTGTATTTGAATACAATTAATTTAATAGTACCAATTTCACTGCACCATATGCGCTTCTTGTTGTATGCTTTAAGAATTAAATCAATTGCAACTGTATCACTCGTGTTGGCATGTTTTTTCTGTCTTTTTTTACAAGTTTAATAAAATCGTAACCTATTTACAGAATACCCGACAATAAGGGCAAAGCTAATAAGTATTAATGTTTGATTATCGATTTTGAAATACTTAGTTTTTAGGTATTCTTCCCAAGAATGACAATTTATAATAGAGCAAATTAATGCATAATAACTTTGCAAGAAAATCTTGGAAATATTTAGTTATTCATGTTAAGCATAAAAACAGTTTTTATTGGTTCTATAGTTACAAATAACAAAAGCAAAATCTTGAATGTCCCCGAAATTAAAATGGCAAACTCTTGTTTTAATAACAAAAAAGGACGGTTTTATTTATTTCAATTCATCAATTTAGTTAGTTTTTATGGAATTTTCCTTGAGTGCATTGTGTACATAACCACCCGGTATATTGGAAACATTTGAAAGTTAATGTATTTTTATGAGAGAGTAAAGATAACTACAAATGCAAATTATTTGACGGATTAAAGGATTTATCTTTAACCAAAGGTTATATAAAATTCTATCATATACTTTAAAAGTGCTCTTAAAATACTAACATTATAATCAAAGAAGTTAATGTTCTATTTAATGGAGGTTAGTTTTAATACCATGTTTGAAAAGGGGCTGTCTTTCTCTTTAACATATTTGTCTTTCGTTGCAAAATAAATATTGTCAGCACTTTTCATTGAACCAGGATTTTCCCCCATTAATACATGTAACGTTCCTACGTACTCAATATATTAATAAATAAATTGATTAATTGTAAAAATGTATGCATATACACAAGTATTGCAAAACAGGCAGAGAAAACATAGTTTGATCAGTTTTAAGATTTTAAATAATATGCTATAAAATATTGAAAAAGAGAGTAATATATAGGCGAAATTTAAATTTATGTTCCTTTTTCAAGTCACCTATATATTGATTACATTTTGTATTGGTGCATTATTTGTTATTTTATAAATGAAAATAACATTAAAGCACTTTGTTTGCAATTACTCCAACTTTTCTTAAACAAGACAATATACGTCAAGTATTATATTGAAAATACCTCCATGAAAAACCAACCTGCGGTCTACGAATTGCATAGAAGTAGTATATTGACAATACTTCTACGACAGACCAACCTGCAGTCTACGAACTGCATGGGAGTATTATATTGACAATACTTCCATGACAAACCATCCTGCGGTCCACGAATTGCAGACTCATGGGTTCAGTTGATTAATAATTTAGTAAAATATACCAATGTTCATTAATTTGTTCATTTGTAATATATATCTACATGTTCTTAAAACGACAACACTGTCTTACTGAAAGCATCCCACATCTATGTTTGAAGATATAAATTATTTATACGTATACATGTTATTAAAGCAGAACAACACAATTCTTGAATTCACGACAATAAACACAGAAATATGTTAAAAAAGAAGATATAAAATTACCTTTGGTTTCTTCTACTGGAGGAGGATCTGAAAATAAAAGTTTCGTAATAGTTATATATAAAATAGGGACGAAAGATACCAGAGGGACAGTCAAACTCATAGATCGAAAATAAACTGACAACGCCATGGCCAAAAATATAAAGACAAACAGACAAATAATAGTACAGATGACACAACATAGAAAACTAAAGACTAAGCAACACGAACCCCACCAAAAACTGGAGGTGATCTCAGGTGCTCCGGAAGGGTAAGCAGATCCTGCTCCACATATAAAATTTATATAATTATAAAAAACATATTACAAGAGTAACAATGCTAAACTATTCAGTACTACAGATCATGCAGTTAAAATATTTTCTCCTTTTTTTTAGTTTTAATAGTAAAATATATATTGTAGGGTTTCTACCCGTGTTGGTTAATAATGGCTGTGTAATGCAATTGTTTGTTGATGGTTTATGTTTAAAATCTAGATATTAAGAGGGTATATGCCGCAAACTGTCATATATGACGATGTTCGTTTTGCAACAAAAGGTTTAAATATAAGTGCTGGTTTAAAGTAATGTTTTTCATGAAGATTTTTATAACAGATTTCGCCAAAACAGCCCAACCCGTCAAAGGTCAACTTTACTTTTGTGTAAATATATTTTATTGTTTCACAAATGCAATATGAACAAATCATTTACAAGAAGAACAACTACTAAAACTACACTACATCTCTTTTCGTCCAAAGGGAGAGATGAATATTACGGAGCAGTGAATGTTCGCAGTTACCTAGAAAACTAGCTCAAAGTACTTGACTTGCTGATATGAAAACAAATCACATATATCCTTATTTCGGTGTTGTATTTCGGAGTGGATTTCGTAGAAACGTCGTAATCAGTGCAGGATTTTATTGAAGCTAATCAAAATAAATGTACCAAGGAAAAGATGTATTGAGATAAAATTTATTGGGAAACTCATTTTAGGTATCGACTTACTGGTTCAAATTTCAATTTAGTGATTCATTCATTTCTAAAAGGACTTGTTTAGCATAGGTAACTGTTCAAAAAGGTATACACATTTAAGTTATGAAATACATATATTATTACCTGTAACATAAAGCCTTATTCTCCTCACTAAATCTTCTTTGGTACTTATTTGACAGTCGTAAAGACCAGCATGTGCTTTCGTGACATCTTTAATAACCAAATTCCATTTATAGCCTTTGTCAGTGTGGTCTACACTGTGACGTTCGTCAGTTGTAAAGACAAACTCGCCGATTGTTAAAGCATGTTTTTGGTCAACTCTCTTCCAGATAACCTAAAATTAATCAATAAACTGCAACATTGAGGAGATTCAAACAGTATATGTCCTTTATCTAATTATATCTAACTATATATAATGAGGATAATTTTTCATTTTAAAAAATAAAATAATAAAAAATACCGAACTCCAAGGGAAATTCAAAACGGAAAGTCCTTTATAAAATGGAAAAAATCAAAAGCTCAAACACATCAAACGATTGGAAAACAACTGTCATATTCCTGACTTGGTACATGCATTTCCTTATGTAGAAAACGGTGGATTAAACCTGGTTTTTTAGCTAGATAAACCTCTCACTTGTATGACAGTCGATAAATAAAAGATCTATCGGCTTTAATATCGGTAAGAGATGTCCCGTTAAGTTGTGATCATCATCAAATATCTGTTTTAAAGTTGATCAGAACGGAAGGAAAATCATAAAATGTATAAATCAGTTAATCAGTTATGGATTATTTACTTAAAAGAGCTAAAAGAACGAAAATATTTAATGGCCAATTCGAAGCTCGATGCAGACTCGTTGTAAATAAAATACCTTGGCGGTATAATCAACCCTTTAGAATCCGCCTCTCTGTTAATAGTAAACAGCCAAATATTTTTTTATTTACAAATTCAAAAAGTAGGCGGGTTCCTAAATACATCTTTCCATGTTCCTTAAGGAACTTCCATGTTTTTTTTTTCGTTGGATATTGTCCTTAGATTAAAGTACATGCATAATTAAATGAACAAATGGATGGTATCAAATAATAATAGGGCTAGCTGGATTAGAAAAGGCCATTAATTTTAAATAAGACATGAATAACTAAGGAATTCAAACTGTGTCATCCTGTGACAGTTTAAAAGTTCATTATGACTTGTTTATTTTAATATTTCTTATCATTTCCGCGTTATTCAAAAGTTATAAGTGCACGATGAGTGTCGCTCAGGAGTACTTTAAATTTAATTACTGTTTTTAACAATATTATTACTGAAAACATAATACCACCAATATTCAAAAATCGACCACAACATTTGTCATCTATAAAACATTTACTCTCCTTAAATTTATATAAAAGAGACCACTAATTATTCAAAATAATCATTTTGAAGAAATATTTTGAAAGTACATATTTCACTTTTTTAACCGATTCGTGATAATTTTTGTGTTAATAAAGGCTATCAACTAAACAGCGATGTGCGTATGATGAAATTTAGTTAGGTAGGAAACATAACTATATTTAATGAAAACAATATTCAAATCTTTAATTTCAATGTTTGAAAAACAACCCCACGGGACTGGCTTGGGTAATCACATTCTGTGTATATTTGTTTTGTTCTAAATACATAAAAAGTAAAATAACAAAAGTACCGAACTTCAAGGAAAATTCAAAACGGAAAGTCCCTTATTAAATATCAAAATCAAAAGCTCAAATACATCAAACGAATGGAAATACTTTCAATTGGACAGACGAGTATTCTAGTCTCAAAGAGTATCATCAGCTTATTGGTCAGCTGGCATGATTTTATAACATTCTTTTTTGATTAATTATGATTTATTTTAGAAACTAAGGTTCCAACTCCCTCAAGCAAAAATGGTCTTAGATTAAGATGGCTCTTCTTTTTATGTCTTTTTCATTCATTCAAGTAGCTCTTTAGGTATTCCGGTATTTATACATTCATGGCTTTCAATCATATTGGTTTTAGCTTTTCTGACGAAGGTAACGTTTTACTTTGGTTTCAGTTTATTCCCGATTTTTTGGGAGAAAGGTTTCCACAATTTAGTTCTCGAAAGCAAAACTGCATAATTGTTGCACTTTTCGGATTTTATAAGAGTTCATATTTTCATAGCTTTTTAAAATTGCATTACCGTGAAAGATTTTATGGCAGTCGCACTGATAATCTTCAATCAATTTTACAAAGGAAAATATCTCTGACCGCAAACCACAGAAATAGCAAAGGATTAAATAGTTGAATAAGATAAGGTAACAGATTCAGTCATTAAACAAACTTACGATGTTATGTTGTGAACAACTGGCGTTTGTGTATTGCAACATATTTGCCCGACATTGATACTGATAGATGACCTATGTAAACAAGCTATCCCCTATCCGGCGTCGCATCGCTTTCAATACAAACAAACAATCTATTATTTGAACAATATGCAATTAGACAAAAGTAATCAGATGATGTTTACATAGGTAAATATACCATATGTAAAAGATTTTCGTAGGTCAACATCGTTCGTCATGTGTTATTACTACAATGTTTCTGATTCTGTAAACGTGCATACTTTCTCGTTGTTTACTTTCGGCATATGAAAACCGTATGCGGTCAATTTCCGACTCGCAAGTGATGACAGTCGCTTTAACCACCTCGATAGGTACAAAGAACACTCAATATTGTTTGGTTATAATGGCTGCATATTGCACATAAAGATGATTCAGTTTCTTGAACAAACCATTGATCTTAAGACATGAAACTTAAGAAAGAATGAGTTTTTTTTATATATATATAAATATAAGCAACAGTGTAGTTTATCGATGTTCGCATCTCATAAATCGGTTAAGAAGACAAAGTAAGGCAAAAGACAAAACTGAAGGAATCTTATGAACTCCAAAAGGAGCAAGACCAGATACGACGACAGGGTAAGCGTCTCCTCTTTTCATGCAGTTGTATAGCTTATATTTAAAGGTCTCAGTTTGTTTCCTACATCAATAAGCCATATATCAAAAACCGTTTATATGGTCAGGACTTAAGTTCAATTTGAAACATGCATACCAAAATGAGTTTATACTTTTTCGATAACATTAACGTTATGAAATTTACTGCACCAGATACACATTTTAAAGATTGATGTCTCTTCGTGGATGCTAGAAGTCAAAATCTTTGAAAATCAAAAATCTAATACAAACTTTAAAGAGCTGATATAACCGAAAAGGACCAAAAAGTATAGCCAAATCCCGACATAGAATCGGAGTTATGTATGACAGAGATACATCCCTTGTTTTTGACTGTTTATTTTTAACAATATATATTATTTCTTACTGGAAAACAAATCTGATTTATGAATATCTGGGTTTGCTTTGAGCAATTTGGTTTTTTTTTTTATTGACGCAAATACCAATTATTTTTTTCTGACTATTAAATGTTGATATTAATTATTAAAATAATGTGGTATAATTGCCAATGAGACAACTCTCCACCAGAGACCAAATGACATAGAAGTTTACAGCTACAGGTCACCGTACGGTCTTCAACAATGAGCAAACCCCATACCGCATAGTCAGCTATATAAAGCCCCGAAATGACAAATATTAAACCATTCAAACGAGAAAACCAAAGGCCTCATTAATGTACAAAATAATGAACGAAAAACAAATATGATACACAGCAACAAACGACAACCACTGAATTACAGGCTCCTGACTTGGGACAGACAAATACAGAATATGGCGGGGTTAAAAAAGTTTGAAGGCGCCAAACCTCCCCCTAACTAGGGACAGTGGTGAAACAGTACAACACAAGAACAAACTATAAAAATCAGTTGAAAAGGGCTAAACTCATCGGTATAATTGCCAATGAGACAACTCTCCACTAGAGACCAAATGACATAGAAGTTTACAGCTGCAAGTCACCGTACGGTCTTCAACAATGAGCAAAACCCATACCGCATAGTTTGAAGGCGCTAAACCTCCCCCTAACATGGGACAGTGGTGTAACAGTACAACACAAGAACAAACTATAAAAATCAGTTGAAAAGGGATAAACTCATCAGATCGATACAAAGCAGAAATATATCTTACAAAAACAAGTCATTCAACAGTCAGGTATTGTATTATGGTATTATAGAAGACAAAGGTATTGTTTTCAAGCACTGTTTAACGTCCAGCAACATGTTTGTTCACGTGCTTCTAGTAATTCACAACGTAACAGTCCGCTGTAAGACTTGACCTTACCTGGACACATTATTCTGACTCGGAGCAGACCAGTCTTTGTTCTTACTCCGCATGTTTAGCGGAGAATAAAGGCAACAGTAGTATACCGCTGTTCGAAATTCATAAATCGATTGAGAAAAAAACAAATCCGGGTTACAAACTAAAACTGAGGGAAACATATCAAATATAAGAGGAGAACTACGACACAACAGAAACACAATATTAAAATGTAACACACACACGAACTATAATATAACAATGGCCATTTTCCTGACTTGGTACAGGACATTTTAAGAAAAAAATGGTGGGTTGAACCTGGTTTTGTGGCTAGCCAAACCTCCCGCTTTCATGGCAATGTTAAATATAACATTAAAATGACAACATTACATGACAGGACTACAATACAAATAAATGGGATAACATATAGGACAGAGAAACATACGAATAATAGCTAACAAAAGATACCAGGTTTAAAATTTAATACGCAAGACGCGCGTTTCGTCCACAGAAGACTAACTCAGATCAAAAAAGTTCGAAAGCCAAGACAAGTACAAAGTAGAAGAGCATTGAGGACCAAAAATTCCAAAATGTTATGCCAAACACGGCTAAGGTTATATGTCTGGGATAAGAGAATCCTTAGTATTTAGAATAATTCATACTTTTGCAAACAGTAAATTTATAAAAAAGACTATATAATAGATATACATGATAACACCGAAGTGGTGACTAACTACAGAATAAAAACGGATACATAAAACAACATAAACCAGCACATAAAAATTCACAGCCGAGTTGGCCAAAGAGATCAACGCAAAAAAAAGTGACGTCACATTTGAATTTCTGAAATTTCCCCAAAATAGGATAGAATTAGGATAGAATTCAAGATTTGGTTTATAATACTTATATAACATTTATTAATAACAATGAAAATTACAATACAAATTAATATAAAATGTGGTAGTAATTAGATAATTAATAGTATTATCATGGAAGTATTATATTGACAGGAACTCCAACAAGCGGACTTCAAACGTTTATAGTGCGATGCCGCAAAATCGTTAAGTATCTGTTAATTAACTCGTCTGTCTTATGGATGCATGGGTTCCGATAAAATTTTTGGAACCTCGTGAATGATCGTAATTTCGGAACATACCGAAATAACCGGATGTGTACTTAATTGTCAAGGAAATGACATTTACCGACCATGTGAATGACAAATATAATGTCAGTTTTTACGGGTTTTGCTGCTTAAAAACAAATAAAAAGAAAAGAAACGAAACGAAATCCCCCCGACTGTTTTCACCGATTAAAAAGACAAAAAAAAACAAAAAACTGAAGAGTAAAAATACTCACAAGCCATAAACATTTCAGTTTAAGTTACAATCAATTTTAAAATAGTAAGATTTATTCATGAGAGTGCCGTTGGCTAAACACGCGTAACTGTTATATACAAGTTAGGCTTGAAAATCATAAAATTCTCATGTAAAGTAAACGGAAAAGTTTTTATCAGTAATTATTATCGCGTTTTACTGCTAACTTTGACAAACATTTAACTGAAGTGTTTAATGAAAGAATTTCCAACAAAATTTAATCCAAAAGTTGGCCGGGGGGGGGGGGGGGGGGGGGACGGGGTTAAAGAGCTTTGATCCGAAAAAATATCAAATATTTTGATTTATTGTTTACTGAAAGTCCAATGGCAAATATTTCATGCAATTAAACAAGAAACAAAATCATTAATTGCTTAGCACACGGTGTAAGATGTTTCAGAACTGTTAAGCTTTTAAACACATAAATAAATTCTAATTTGGTTTCCATGATAAAAAAAATTAAACTGCTTAGGGCCCATCATGGTGATCGTTCTTTAAATGCACCCAGAAATATTTAAAGCCATCCGTAAAAATAAATCTGTCAGACGTCAGAGTAATCTCGGACTAGGTTGAATGTTTAAGGTTGTTTACAACTTTGGAATTATTATAAAAGGTGTAACAATTCATCTGCATGTCTCGTAACCTGATATTGCTATGTAGAGGTCATCACATGCGTGTAATTATTAACCTCATTTAGTCTTTAAAACATATTTGATAAATAAGTTAATAACATTTTACGATATTTTACGATAGAGAAAACCATAAATATTTGTGTTACACTCGATAAAAGTTTACAATCTTTAACTTAAAATTTGAGTTATCCGGCACCATCCGGCACACTACACGCGCATCACATTATTTTTTGCAAACACTCTACTTCAGAATCATGTAATTTTCCTAATCGGATATTTCCCGATTTCCAAGTTCCAATGATTAAAACATACTCAACAAAACTAAAAATAAGCTTGCCCTCTTTCCGAATGCAGTTAATTTTCTTATGTCATTCTGTTAACTATGGACCGATTTTTTCGATCTTTTCAGCTTTGTTCTTCATTTATTGAACGGAAACAGGTGTTGTTATTCATGTGGCGATTCACAAATAACCACGGGAGTTTCCGTGTTTATTTACATTGGTAGGTAGATAAGACAATCGATACCAAATCACGTGATAAGACCAGCTAAAGTTAAAAGAACAGGCGAAGGCGGCATCACAGATACCCCACAAAGGAGTTATCACGTACTTGACAAACTGAGTCGGAACCTTTTATTTTCTTGAAAAAATCAGTGGGATGGGAATGTGCTAATTTTTCGTTGGAGTTCCTGTCAATATAATACTTCCATGGTATTATCTAGCTATGTCGGTGTTTCTTCTAAATCAAACTGTAAACCAAATATATCGTATAAATTTAGTTGACCCAAACTAAAATCTAATTAATGAACTGGGTGATTAATTATCTTTGCCATAACACACGAATACAACAGAAAAAAAATAAGATTTACAACTGAGAATAACAAATATAACATCAAAACTAAATACATGAATTTTGGATAGAAAAGTACCGTGACACGTCTTATAGGAATGGGAATTCACACTCAGCAAAACAGTCACAATCGGGAATAAGTCACGTTCGGTAATTAAAAGATCAGACGACGTAATGTCAAACCACAATCTAACACATGGTGTAAAAATGTCCTTAGTTAGTTTGGACAAAGACACATCGTATGGATCGACCAATTCGTGATGGTGTCCGTACAATTTACGGAGTGTCATTTTTAATCTGTCCTCCTCATAACTTTGTTGGAGCAGTTTCTGCGTTAGGAGCACACTCCTGCATATGAAGTCCGTATAGTGTGAACATGCACGAGCATAACGTATCAACTGAGATATGTAAACACCATATGAAGGGGCAGAGGGTATGTTACTGCTGAGAAATGGGAAATTGATAATTGGGAAGTTGAAATCGTCCCGTTTATCATAGATTTTCGTGTGAAGTCGTCCATCTGTGTCAATATTGAGGAAAAGATCAAGGTATGAAGCAGTCCTTCTAGTATCAGTAGTATCCTTAATTTCAAGTTCACTGGGATATATGAGATGTAAGTATTGGAAATATCGGTTATTCAATGATAGGACATCATCAATATATCGGAAAGTAAAATTAAAGAATTTTGCAAGGTGCTTTTTCTTTTTGTCTTTTAGAAGGTTCTGAATGAATTCTGCTTCATACCAGTACAAAAACAAATCGGCCAGTAGGGGTGCACAATTAGTACCTATTGGAATACCGACTGTCTGTTGAAATATAAATCCATCAAACTCAACAAATATATTGTCGATCAAAAAGTCCAGCATTTTGATAATATCATCTTCAGTATATTTTCTGGTAGATTCAGTGTGGTTCTTCACAAAATATGAATTATTGTAACCCAAAACAAGAAATTTGTATCTACGATTCCCATTTTTATAGAAAAAGCTCTGTTTAGTGAGATGGTGAAGTCGATCTTTCAACTGAGCATGGGGAATAGTAGTGACACAGCAAATACCAAATGTAAAATCTTTTGTTTGATCTGGGTGGTGATCGAACCCACGACTTCGGCCACTCTCGAGGCGAGCACGCTCTAACCACCGAGGCGGTTGGATTAAAAATATACGTTGACAATAAGCCTTTCCAACTAACTTGCTTCATATTGTTTAATTTGTTTTGGCTTGATTAATGAGATTAAAAAGAGTATTTTTCAACTAGATGATCTACAAGATCTACTTCAAACTCTGGCAATTGATAAGTTGAAGAAATATATAGTCATGTAATGAATTGTTATTGCAAGCTCTTCGGATATTTTCTTTTCGATTTATCTCAATAATTCTATTTCTTATCCAGGTTTATGGTGTAAGATAAGGTCAGAGATTTAATAAGCTGGTTAAGACGGCATATTGATTCTAATAAAATTCTTGAAGATTTTCACAGCTTACATGGTTACTGAGGCAATGGATCATATTTATATATTTATTTTAAAGAAATTTCAGCTCTTTATGAAAACAGAGGGGGGGGGGGGGGGGGATACCAAGTGGACAACAAAAGAAAAAACCCTCAAACCAAAGGAAAGCCGACAATACCAAGGTAATCAGGAAACTGGAAATATAATGTTGATAGAATAAGTTATAAATTTTCTTTGCAGTTTCTACCAACCACTTGCGACATTGCACTGTGTTATTGTATGTCGCGACCTACTTATTCAATGACCTAACTTAACATCAGAAGTGCCATATGTTCATGTAAATAACGAAGAAGTACAAGGTAGGTATATGGATCTACAATTATTAATTAAGCAAAAACTATATAACAACATGATGTAATGACACGATGTCAAAGCAAATCCACAAGGAACCGTAACACAGCTGTAACGTACTGGTGTCGGTTTTACTACAGCCAACGGAAACTATTAATTAGCTTAATATTTACGAACGTAGTAAGTCATTTATCTAAATACCAGACGTAATGAGAATGATTAAAATGTACCGCAGACCATCAAGGAAAATAAACTATTAACTTGTATTAACCTAAGACCCATTACTTTTCGACACAACATAACTGACGCGATCATAGTCATGTAATAATTAAAATATGTGCATACATGCAACTATGAATATAAGTAGTACAATAGACCATGCAAACAATGTTGTCAATAATTTATTTCTTTGTACGTTGATGAATACATGATGGGTACAATTACTCATAACATTATCCGTGCATTTAGCATATGCCAAATCATAACTGATGATAACTATTCCAATGTTCTCCTACACTGTATACATGTACATAGCTAATTGGATTGCTGTTTGGTCAAGATATGTAATAATTACATTAGAATGTGTACCGACTGTATGGGTAATCAATTACAGTGGTATGTAAGGTATACAACATTCTCCCACGATAATTGGACTAATTCAGCAAGATACATATTTAACATAGATATCATCATATCTACTAATGATGGCATACATGTGTAGTTTTTATGTTTAGCGCAATTATAAATTCAATATACAAACCTTTTTAGTTCCGAGATTGACAATTGAACACGGTAGCACAGCTGTTTTACCAACGTAAACAGTGATATTTGTCCGGGTTTCTTTAAATGAAGGTAATATATAACCATTCCATCCAGCAGCCGAAACTGAAATAAAAGATACAAAAAATCATAAAAATATGGAAACGCAGTATTATTGACAATATATTAATCATAGATACCAGGATTAAAGTTTTGTACGTCAGGCGCGCGTTTCGTCTACAAAAGACCCATCAGTGAAGCGCGAATAAAAAAAGTAAAAAAGGCAAATAAAGTCAGAAGATGAAGAGCATCGAAGACTAAAAATTGCGAAAGACAATAAGACAACTACCCACCAAGACGATGAAATCAAATTAGTCAATATTATAATGGAAGTAAACAAATGGCTGATAGCGCTTTAAGCAAAATGAACCCGATGAGGTTTTTTCTTGGAACAATGATCTAGATTGATATCTGAAAATACCCGTATGAAGTCACCATAATTACCATAAAGCCTTCAAATGTCACATATTATCATCTGCATGACTGCACACGAACGTTTACCTTTTCAATTTACTTGCAGGTCTGACAAAAGGGTAAATGCCATATTTTACCAAAGAATGATGCAGGTGTATATTTGTACATTTTGTTACTATATGAAGTCAGGAGTTTGTCAATGTTGTAAGCATGTTTCTTTGCAAACAATAGAAAGAAAGAATATAATCTATATGATGATGGTGTACTAATCCGAATCGGTTGACCAACCGGAAATGGATAACTGATAGTAACACATATTTACAATAATAAATACCCATTATGTCAAATATCAAAATACTGTAAAAGGATTGCCTATTTTATAGGGTATATTTTTTTTAATCTATACCCCAATTTTCCCCAGACCCCCCACCCCTTCTCCCCTTTTTACCTTCCATTTTCAGCGTATGTTTTAAGTGTAAAGGGAAATATCCGTATATATGATAGCTGCTTGTCCAAGTTAAAAACATTTACGTTATATTCTTTTTTCGCTACCAGCCGTTATTAGACATAAAATCATATATTCACAACTATGATCTATGTTTTGCTAACGTTATTTCCGACAACTACAAGCCACATGTTCTAGAAATCTTCGTTGTCTCTTTTAAAAAACATATCAACAGACATCAGCTAGGGACGCCAGTTTAATGGGGTATTGCATTAAAGCAGATAAGAAAGAATAGTGAAATTATACCTGTTTTCAATATAAACGCGGTATCATTAATTGTAATCAAATGGTTTCTTCCAATCTGTTTTGATACTTCATTTATTTTCTCGATAATTAAGAGAAGGATTTTCCATAAACTTATAGATTGATCTGCATATCTGAATAACAGTCATCTGAAACATCCATAAAGACGTTTTTATTACTCAAAAGAGCTATTTTTTGTTTTTAATATGAAATTATATAATCATTAACTCAGTTACAGGTCGTTGTAGATTAATGTTCGGAAAGAATAGCATACTTCCGTTGTATAGAAATAGGATGACAAACGGGGACATGACAGATGGGAATTATTCTTATGACTAATACAAAAATGGAAAAATGTTGTAGAACAATAATTATTAAATTTAATAATTACGTAATGATATATTTCATAATTGAAAACGGCTTTGCTGCAGACACTGGAAGTGACTGTTAGGCTAGGGGACTCGTTTCATAAAGACACTATTACACGCTAATACATGTTGCATGATAATCGGATCATAACAAATAATACGGCGTATCCAGTGCTATTACTTTATTGCATGCCAATTTTGAAAGATAAATGAAAGAAGATTTTTGGTTAAAGTTGATTAAAGAGTAATCCAACGACATACGGACAATAAAAAACAAATAACATTGAAATCAGCATAATGGTCTTCGACAATAGAAAAGTGTCAATCCATTATGCCAAAATCTATCTGGCAGAGAGTTTTAAAAAAGTTTTCAATAAATTCAAGATAGAAGTCACTGCCAGATGGCAAAAAACATTATATGTAAGATGAAATTAAACAAGAGACAGCCACTTATGTGGTTTCTGACTGGGGACACGCTCGTGAACTCTTTGTGGGGATTAACATTTTAGTTTTTGACCCTCCCATTTTTATTTCGATTTGATTGTTTCACTATAAAAGAGATACATTATGATACTAATTGTATTAACTTTTCATTTCTTTCGTAAATATAGAATCAGATGTATTTCATTCTTCCTCGTTATGATAAGAGACTGTCGTGTTGCATATCAAACCAAAACTTCGACCAATATTTTTTCTGACGCTTTGTGACTGCTTTTTCCTCAATTCGTTAACTGTTACACACGCAAATATCTTGCAATATAGCTATAATACCTTCTAAAAACTATAACGTTACAATCCTTTGACAATTGTCACAAAAACAATTATTCAGTTAAACTCACTTCTTTCAAGATACGGCGAATATTTGCTCAATTGCATGAAACAACCCAAAAACACGTCATATTCCGGAAAAATTTTAGGCTTTTCCGGAAAAAAATATATCTCAACACCATATTCATGCCCTACATTTACTAAACCCAACTAATTTTTATCCTTTGATCTCCGACCGATGTTGAACCAAAGTGTTCACTGAAAGGCGATTACTTTAGATTGTATATTGTTTTTTTTTTCTTCAAATAAAACTTTCCATAAAAAGATACGAAAACCAAAGACACTATTGCGTAATGATGAATTTAGTCATAGAAAAGGTTAGGAACATCAGGTTACCTTACCAATTGACATTCGCCGATAAAGTTATCATATTTGTCTATGCTACGGTGAATTTTTATGCTCTATCAATCTGTTTGATTTTTTAATAGCTAGAAGATATTTGAAGTAAAGCATAATTTTTTTTTTATATTTAGATGAAATGTCTTGATAGAGAATGAAAGCGATAAATGATATAAGCGTCGTATATTGAAGAAATGTAATCTTTAATGATGGTTCCAGATATCTGAAAGTGAAGCTTTTCGTATTTCCAAGATGTGAACTAAGTGCAAATAATGCACGATAATATATCTTTTCTGGGAGCAATTTATCAATTGGAGTACGCACGCATTTGTGTCATAATGGGTGTAGTATAAGAATATGCTTCATTTTGAAGCGATATCAGAAAATAATCAAATCTAAAATTAGTTTCTTTACCTTCTTGATCCCCTAAATTAAATTCTTCCAGCTGCATGCTTGTAACTTTAAGTTCTTAAAAACACGTGAATGAGTATATGAAGGTTAAAAATGCTTTTAAAGACCTTCAAGATAAGTTGTTCTTTTTTAATTCTGCGCCTTGACAGATTTTACCATTAATTGTTGTTTAAAGAAACTAAATTAAAGTTCCAGATAAAAGCCGCATAGACAAATCTATAGCTCATTATATCGATTTCAAAATACAAAATACGCCACAGAAAACCTAGCATGTGTTTAATGGCCCTTAACATATAGTCGTCCTGAATATGAATGAAGTAATTACCACTGGACTTTAACAATAAGTGAACACAATCGGAATCGCAAGATCAATAAACCAAGTGATAAAAAGTTCGTCCCCTATCATGCTATTCCACATTATCAGTCAGTATATATATGGTAAGAGTCAAAGCATTGAACAAGACTACATTTTCGTATACCTTGAATATGTCAGATGGATAATACGCCAGTTGTTAGATGAATCTGTCATGTGACTTCCATCACCACGTGACAAAAATGTAAGCATCGTCACTTCCAACACAATCATGTTGAGCGAACGGGTGAAAAAGTTTGATGCTATACTGCACAAAATATACAGGAAATTAAAATCTAATTTGATGGTCACCTTAATTCCCTTTAGTCGTACAGGAATTGAGATTACGTTCTTACGGAACATAGATTATTTCTAGACTACCCTGCAGAATGATGCATCTTGAAAATGCTTTTATACTTTAATAGTGCAGGGATACAGGCGCTCATTCTATCTGGATAATGACGTCATAAGAGCGTGCGTAATAGACTTTTTTCATATTACCGACTTTTGACTCTGAAGTTTATATTTTTTCGACAGTCAAGTCAAGTAAGAGCAACGTAAAGAAGTAAAATCAAACTTTTAATCGGTACAATTTTTGGAGAAAATTAATTGCTTCATATTTTCTTTACACGACAAAATTCTCGGAAAACAGTAAACTTTCCCCTCAAATTACACCGATTATATGTTTGATTTTACTTATTTTGGTTGCTCGTACTTGACCGAGTACCAGGATGTCTACCACAGAAAAGGTAACCTGTAGAAAAATTAAACAATCCGGAGTCAAAAGTCGGTAATATGAAAATAGTTTATTGACGATCTTTTCCGGTGAAAGACATGATTCGAGAAACAGCCTATAGCGAACATGACTTTATGTGTGATCTATTGCAAAGTTAAAATGGTCTAGAATCTTGAGAAAACAGCGACACTGAAAGATCAACCAATGTGTAGTGGTGACGAAGATAATGAACTTGTAAGACCAGTCGTTCTTCTGCAAATTGTATAGCATTAAACTTGCTGTAGTAATTGTTGGGGAAGATTCTATTCTATCAGTTGAATGCAAATCGTCATCAAGAGTATAAATAACTTAATAAGATCTAGAAATGGATAATTGTCAACAAAATAAATAAGAAAATACTCCTAAATAGTATTTATTTATGAGAAATCGTTACATCATTACATGGTTTAAAAAAAACAACACATTTCTAAATAGCCAAAAAAATAACAAATAGAAAATATTCAAATTGCAGATTTGATGTAGTTCTTAAAAAGCAACATAACGATATATTCCAATCGGTCTAATGATCATATTGACTTGTATAGTATTTATTTTATTCGTAATAATTTATAATCAATATTCAGCGGATACAGAATGGCAACTTTCAGATATTGTAATTTGTTACTGTCAAAACTAATTCTGCCATCTATTATGATTCATTTTCAAATGAGTATAATTTTGTTAATAAATCGAATTTAGATAAATCAGGTTCAAATTCTGGACCTCTTCTATCAATAATTTCATAGTCGATTGCATTGTTGATCAAAAATGTTTCCGATTGCTGCAACCAATTACCCAAAATATCAAAGTAACGAAACACTAAAACATACA